GGGTGTGAAATAGTTTATTATTTTCACTGTGCCAATAGCAGCTTTTGTAAATGTTTCACTTGATCCATATTTCTCAAAATATGTTGACTTTGGCACTTTTCCAATCATATAGGGTTCACACTTCTTCTTTTCAAAAGTATTATTCTTATTCCAAATTAGCCTCAGTTTTTTTATCATTAAGCATGTGCTAATTTGCTCTTCACTATCTAGATTCAGTTCACTTTTCTATCTACTATCTATGTTATCGCCCCACCATTCATCTCTTTATATTGTAGAGGCATTACCAATGGCATCTTGGGTTTGTGCTTGTACCCCATCACTTTCTATCTCAACTGCTTGATTCAATACTTCAAAGTCACTACCATCAACTGCCAAATTCATTTTTGATCCAAATTTATTGCCAGAGATTTGAAATTGCTATTTATAAATTTGTCATCACTTTTTCAAAGGTAGCATGCTGTATGTTATATTTAAAAGACAAATTCAAAATATTAATAAAGAAATCAAAATAAAAATGATTCTCTCTCAGATATAGAAGTACAATTTCAAAGCTCATATATCTGTTCAAGTCATTTTGAAGCTGTTTTTTAAAAAAAAAAGAGAAGGCAAAATTAATCTTGGCAGTGTGATACAAAGATGTGAACATATCCCAAAATCTCAGTCCTCATGATCCACTTCCAGCCAAAAAAACTTGAGTCAATATCTATGCTAGTCACATACCTATTCAAGTCATCTCAAAGCTATTTTAGTAGGAAAAAAGAGGAAAGATTAATCTTGAAATAAGTCTTGAAATCTCATCTCTGGCATTCATTTCTGACTGAAAGAAACTCAAGCCAGCACCAGCTCTAAACTCCTGCATATCTTATTAAGCCCTTTTGAAGTGAAAAAAAGGACAAGTGATGCAAAAAGTATCAATTAATTCTATGCTAAGCTATCTCTTGTTAAGCTATAGTTGATTAACACGTGTTCAAATCACATAAAAAGTGACTACTAATTGGTCAAATAACATGAACACG